CCTCCCCCTCCTCCCCCACTTCTCCCTGGCTGGGGCACTTCCCTCCCGCAGGTTCCTCACAGGGTTTTCCCCCCCAGGCTTCTCCCAGCTCCCCCATCCCCGCTCTGAAGCGAAGCAGAGCCCTGCTGGGGCCGGAAGATCCCGGGAAGGACCCCAGTGCCCATTCCCGGCGTGGTTTCCCCCGGAGCGCGTGCCCGGCCGGCCCAGCCGCCACCCACCTGATTTTCGGTTGACCTGGTTCTGTGGAATGATGATCTGGCACGAGTTGGCGTCGTTGGTGTTCTTGATGGGGTGGCTGAGGATGCAGATGACCCGGATCACCTGGCCCACCTTGGTGACGCGGTCTGACACGTAGCTGGGGTCGCAGATGAGCTGCTTGCAGCGGGCCACCTGCCACACCGAGGGCCAGCCCACGTCAGCACTGATCCTGTAACTGCTGACCCACCTGAAGCCCCCAGCCCACCCACACTGGCTCACACCGCGCCCTGGTGCGGGTCGTCCCCTCCGCTCCCACCCGAGGGGACGCGTCACCGAGAGCTCCCGTGCCCCCTGCTCCAGTCAGGAGCGCCTGGAGAGCCTCCAGGCGGCTGCCAGCATTCCCAGTTTATGTCTCCAGGTGCAGAAGCAGCTGCAGGAAGGCCACGTGCCAGCTGTCCAAGGGCAGGGCTGAGTGTCGGGGTCAGACACAGGAACAGCCCCTTCCTCATTTCCCAACCCTGCCAGGGCGTGGACGCTCCATCCCAACCCCTGGAGCGGGACTGTTGGATGGATCCTCACCCCAGGACAACAACGTGCCTTAAGTGAGCTGGAGAGCAGCACCAGCCCCTTGGGAAAATGGGATTTCCACTACATTTATTCACATTTGTGACCAAAAGCCTCCGTTTTTAGGGAAAACATGGAGGGCAGGGAGTAAGGAATGAAGGCAAGGGACTGTACCTCCCCTTCAGACTTCACCCCGACCACTTTGCCGTTCTCGATCACGATCTCCTCGATGGGCTTGTTCAGCATGTAGGTGCCTCCGTAGATAGCGCTGAGCCTGCAGGAGGAAAGTGCCCTCAGTCCCTGCACAGCTCCAGGGTGGGTTTAAAACTGCCCTCAGTCCCTGCACAGCTCCAGGGTGGGTTTAACAGCCCTTCCACAGCTCCAGGATGAGTTCAAACTCCCCTCAGCCCTTCCACAGCTCCAGGGTGGGGTTTAACACCCTCAGGCCCAGGGTTGGGTTTAACTCCCCTCAGCCCTTTCTACAGCTCTGAATTCGGGTTTTATCAGCCATTCCAAGCCCAAGTTTCTCTTCCACTTGGACAAACCCCTCCTCAGGCTTAAAGCTGTTCCAAACCCCCCTCTGAACCCCTCTGTGCCAGGGCCCAGCCGGCGCTCAGGGCCAGCTCCCAGGGCAGTTCCATCCAGCTGGGAAGGACCTGCTCGGTGCATCCCCCCCCGTGCAGGAGCTGCAGGACACACCAGGGTAAACCCAACCCCTGGATGGAGTGGCTGCTGCACACCCACACCCAGCACCGCGAGACACGGGCCCAGGAGCAGGGAATCTCCACAGGATTTGTTCTGGATCAAGGCCCTGACGGCACCATTCATGACCAGAGTGCTGGGATCTCGGGAAGCTGTGGCACTGGCTCCCCACACCCCACCCTGATCCCTGCAGGAACGGGGATCCCACAGGCTGGGACTCACCTGGCAAAGCCCTGGGGCAGCTCTCCCAGGCCGTACAGGGGGTACAGGTAGGGGCTCTTGCCGTACCGAGCCAGGGACTCGCTGTACAGCTTGATCCTGTTGATGGTCTCCTGGCAGGGCTGGTCCAGGTAGCTGCGGAGACAGTTACGCCCCTGGGATGCTTCCCAAGCCCGCAATTCCGGCGGGATACACCTCCCCAGAGGTTTCCCTCCCACCCCCAGCTGCTCCCGCTGGGTGTCACCAGTTCTATCAGGAAGGAGGCGCTGCCCTAACCCAAGGAATGCTCAACGTTCAAACAGCTGCCCAAATTCCAGGATTTGGGGCAGAAGTGATTCCAGTCTCGGCATTTGGGGCAGGAGTGACTCTGACGGGGATCTGGGGCGGGAATGACTCCGATCCCAGGATTTGGGGCGGGAGTGACTCCGATCCCGGATTTGGGAGAGCCCACAATTTGGGAGTGGGATTTGCCCCCACTCACTCGTCAGTCCTGTAGAGGGCGAGGGCGTGGCCGGTGAAGTCGATGACGTCCTGGCCCAGGTCGAACTTCTTGTACACGTCCCTCATGGTGGTTTTCTTGGGGTCGACGCCCTCGAAGGTTTTGGGGTCGTTCTCGTCGAAGTTGGCCACGTAGACCAGGAACTTCCGGAACCGGCGCTTCTCGAACAGCCCCATCAAGCCTGAAAACGAGGGGTGTGCTGGAACTGCTGGACACACCATGGGGCTGCTCCGTGGCCACACGGGGGGAGGAACTGCTGGGGGTTCCACACAGGGAACCATGGCATGCTCTGGGTGGGAAGGGACCTTAAAGCCCGTCCAGTTCTGACCCCAGGGACACCTCCCACTGTCCCAGGTTGCTCCAGCCTGGCCTTGGACACTCCCAGGGATCCAGGGGCAGCCACAGCTTCTCTGGGAAACCCATTCCAGCCCCTCCCCACCCTCCCAGCCAGCAATTCCTTCCCAATATCCCATCTAACCCTCCTTCAGCTTAAGCCCAGCCCCTTGTCCCATCAGTTCCAGCCTCAAACACGAGACTGGACGAGGCATTTTCATCCTCCCCAAACTGGGAGGCAAGACTGGGCTTGCTGGAACAGGAGGGCCGAGGCAGCACCTCCTGCTCCTGCCAGGACGAGTCTCTCAGAGCCCAAACCCAAGCAACAATTGATTGCTTCACCAAACAGGAATATCTGCCACGAGCAAGGCTCAGACCTCCTGACCCGGAGCCCTGACTGCAGGAGTCACTTCATCATCACCAGACTTTGTAGAGATGCCATGAACACATCCCACACCTGGAGCCCCTGGAACGCCCTCCACCAGCTCCTGGAGGATCTCCTAAGCCACTGTGAAGGAGCAGTGGTTTTATGGGAAGAGGGGTGAAATTTGAGCGGGTTTGAGTTGTAATTATCACTCCAATTCGCTCGGGACGTTTTTCCACACAGGCAATTCCACCAAGGATCCACTGTTAAGTATTTATGGCAGAGCTGGGAGCACCAACTCCAGACATAAAAACCTCCTATTCCACCACATTCCCACCAGCTGGGCCACGGAACAGGCAGTTCTGTTGGGAAGCTCCAAGAAAAACCATCACTCGAGGCTTGGGAAGCCCAAGGCTCCCTCTCCAAGTGGTGTTTAAAGTCAAAGAGGTGCAGGAGAACCCTGAGGATGCTCCTTAAAACATGAGGAGCATCAAGAGCATCCCAAGACGTGGGGTTTGCCTCTGTTTGGGGCCAGGAGGCCCAGGAGGACACAAGGAGCTGCAGCTACTCACTGGATGCCAGAGCTTCTGCCTCAGTGGAGGGCACCTTGTAGATCTTGCCCCCCTTGTAGACGAAGCTGCCCTCGATCACCTTGAAGTCCAGGTAACGGGTCACTTCTGTGTAGAGCAGCATCTTGACCAGCTGACCTGGGGGAGGGGGTGGCACAGGTCAGGCAGTGGGGCCGCAGCCAGAGCCGCTCCCGAGGCAGCTCTCCCAAACCCACTCCAGCTGAGCTGGGCCTGGAGTGAGCGGGCCTGGCTGGCACCTCCCTAACCCTGAGCCAGCCTGGCCCCAACCAGCCCCTGTGCCCCAGGGATGAGTGCCCAGCACAGCCCCTGTGCCCCAGGGATGAGTGCCCAGCACAGCCCCTGTGCCCCAGGGATGAGTGCCCAGCACAGCCCCTGTGCCCCAGGGATGAGTGCCCAGCCTGCTCCTCGTGCCCCAGGGATGAGTGCCCAGCACAGCCCCTGTGCCCCAGGGATGAGTGCCCAGCCTGTCCCCTGTGCCCCAGGGATGAGTGCCCAGCACAGCCCCTGTGCCCCAGGGATGAGTGCCCAGCCTGTCCCCTGTGCCCCAGGGATGAGTGCCCAGCCTGCTCCTCGTGCCCCAGGGATGAGTGCCCAGCACAGCCCCTCATGCCCCAGGGATGAGTGCCCAGCCAGCAGTGCTTGGGTTCTGGCAGAGGGACTCGCCAGCCCCGGTGGCACTGCCCCACAGCGGGCTGGGGACTGAGGGTGCCAGGGGGTCTGTGCCAGCCCAGCCCCCAGCAGGGACCTCTGCGGGCCCAGGGGCGCTCACCGTTAGCCATGAGGAATTTGGGAATCAGGTCCACGTTCCAGTCTCTTCCCCGCCCCATGGATTCTGGTGGAGTCCCCGGCAGATTAAACCTTTTGTAGAGCTTTGGAGAGAGAATACAGACCTCATTATAGCCTGGGAAACCTCCCTGGGGGTCACTCCTCCCACACATGAACACACTTTCCACCCCCACGGCTCCCAGCAGAACACAGGCCCTTCAGAGCTGGGTTTTGGCCGGAGTTTTAGCTCCAGTTTGGCTTCTGATGCAGCACACACACACACCCAGGGAGCTGGGACAGCGAGAACCAGGCAGGGTTATTCTGCTCTTCCAGCCTTTCTTCCTCCAAGACCTAAAGTTTGGGAATTTAAAGCCTGAGGAGACGAAATACTGTTTAACATGAGGTACCTTAGTCAATATTTACAACTTAGGTGGGGTTTTAACACCCAGCTCTGGATCCAGGGCATTACAGCTCTGCAGTGCTCCATGCTGGAATTCCAGCTGGGAATTGCAGAGAACAAGTCTGTCTGTAACAACAAACACACACTCGTGTCTCCCCTTCTATTAACTGGGGAGGAAGCACCACAAAACATCCTCGCTCCAAGGAAACCCTGCAGAGTGATGACATGGAAATCCACGCCTGGGATACCGGGAATAAAGCCCCTTTCCCAACAGTGGTGCCAGCTCCACACTTACATCTTCCAGGGGGGTAATGGATGCACTTTCCCCTCCATAGTAGGAGTTGCGATCCATGTGAAGGACCTTCTTGCCGTTCACGGACATGATCCCGGAGAGGATGCATTCCTGCAGGAGGGAAGGGGTGCAAGGCACGGGTTAGTTGCTCTGGAGCCTCCTCCTTCCCAGTTTTCCTAGGGAAGAGCATGTTCAGACAGCTGGCTGTGTGCAGGCACCTGCAATGCCCCGTGGACAGACACAGCAGTTGCCTCCCTGGGGAATTCAGACACCTCCTGGAGGCAGATGAACCCCCCACCAGTCTGTGCTCTGGGCAGGCCACCAAGGGGTTAAAGCTACACAACCACCACCTGCACTGAGGAAGTTTCTGGGAATCTCATGCATTTGGGGCAGATCTGGGAAATCTCTCCTCCTAAGCCACCACCTGTCAGTTTAAGGATGAGCCAGCAGGGGCATGGAGTCTTACTTGGACTTCATCAGTCTCCCCAAACCTCAGCCATTAATATTGGCCACACCGGGACACGTGGGAGAATCTACAGCTTCTCTTTATCCGTTTGTAAAGAATAAATTAGGGCATTTGGGAGGTTTATCACCTCAGCAGAGGCCTTGCTCTGTGTGCAGAGATCCCTTGGAGCAGCAGTTCAGCTGCTGGCTCTGAGACTCGGCCCAGAGCACACCCAAGCTGCAACCTGCAGAACCAGCCGAGGCCTCCCTAAATCCCACAAAACACTGACTCTGCCCCAGCTCTGGCATTCACAGCCAAAGAGCTTAACGAAACCTCGAGTGTTTGCGTGCTTAGGACGGCTTAGCAGGGAGGTCTGACTGATCTTGCTGTGTCTCAGCTCCCCCCAGGAGCAGACCTGTCTGCGCTGAGCTCCTGCTCACCAGCAGCCACATCTACCCGGGAGGTGCCAGCCACGTCTCACATCAGGGCTGGCTCAGCCTGGCCTACTGGAATGGGCTTCAAGGTCCCTTCCACCCCCAACCATTCCATGACTCTGGATTCAGCACTCAGCCTGTAACACCCCCCATCCAGCTGCTGGGAGAGGTCCCCACTCCCAGGAGTGGAGAAGACGCTCCCTCACAGCTTGGCCCTCCTGGCAGAGATCTGTGTCTCTGTGAGATCCTTCACATCCACTCCCTGAGCACCTCACCCAGGACTCTCCTCCTGTGTCCCTCCCCCAGTGGGGTTCAGGAGCTTTATTTCCAGCCCTGGCCAAGGCAGGTGTCACTCGGTCACACAGGCTCACCACAAACACCAGAAGTCTCCCACTGTGCGCTGTTTACACGCTGTGTAAATCCTGACTCCAGGCAACCCTCGGTGCAAAGGAAGCTGTAAAATCATCTACAACTTCCCCGGCCACGGACCAAGCCCCTCCAAGGCAGCTCTGGGGGGGTTCCTTGGTTCTGAAGGTGTGGGGGTGGCTGGCAGGGACTGCTGGCACGAGGATTTGCTGTTCTGCTGCTTCCAGGTGGGACAGCAAGGCACTGCTGCCAGTCTGTCACCCACCAGGGTGCCACCCCAATCCAGCCACGGAGCCGAGGACAAAGCTGGAGCTGCCCAGGGCACAGCAAGGACACTCCAGAGTGAATCCCTGGGGTCGAGGGGCGACGGCAAACACGGTGCCCACGTGGCTTTGTGATCACCACGTGGGTGGTGGAGAGCCGGTCACGGCACTGCCCACGAAACCTCCTTCCAGCACCTTCCACCCGAGTCCTGCGAGGCTCCTGCTGCTTCCCCACACAGGAGAACGAGCAGAGAGCCCAAGCCCTGTGCTAAGACACCACTCAAGGGCTGAGGAGCCGCAGGAGTGAGAGTGGCTGCAGGGTGTCAGCTCCGCTGTCACTGATTAACCACGTGTGACGTGGGGCTGCCTCCCTCCTCTGCCAGCTCCTCACAGCCCCGGGGTCGGGGCCCTGCTCCCCCCTGACATCCTCTGCCCCTGTGACATCTCACCAGCTCTGCCAGATGGTGGCACAGGCTCCAAGTGGCCACGCTGGAGCTGAGCCACGAGGGAGCCAACCAGGATTTCACACCAAATGAGTATCAAAGGGAGGAATTAAAGCCACAGCAAAAGCTGCTGAAGTTCCAGTCACTGCCCTGGCTGTCAGCTGATTTCCTTCCTCCATTTAACTTCAAAGCAGCCCGTGCTCCATCTTCCCAGAAATGCACACAGCGAGCCTGTGTCCCTTCCCCAGCCCGGCTCTGGGTACCAGCAGAAGATGGAAGAGCCCTTTAGCACCTCCTCCATCTTATTTCATACCCATCAAACAGCCCCACGGGCACTGAGCTGGAGACACTCGGCTCCTATTTCATCCCAGGCTCGTTTAACACGGCCCTTCCATCCCCCGGAATCCCACTGAGCCTTTCCCGAGCCATGAAACACACGGGGTGCACAATGGAGTCATCCTCCCAGCTCAGCAATTCCTCTGCAGCTCTCCCCGGCCGCTGGAACCGCTGGATGTGTGTCCTGGCCTGGTCTGGGGGGGAGGCAGTGAGGAAAACAAACAGCCTGGGCTGATATGGGAAGGGCTGGGAAGGGTTTCAGCTGCAAGTGAAAAAAGGGAAGCATCAAGAGTTCGAATCTGGAGGGGCTTGGCTGTGCAGAAATATCAACATGGAGCAAAGAGGAAGGCAGAGCAGCTGCTGAGAGCAGCAGCAGCACACAGCAGGGAGAGCTCCAGGTATCCAGAGGAGCACGCTCTCCACGGAAAGCGCAACCCTGATGGAACTGTAATCCAGAGCTCTGCCAGGACAGCTCCCCAGAGCTCATTGTGTCTCAGGGAACGACAGAGCGAGCCCTGGTGTCTGCAGCACCACCCCGGCCGCTGAAATGGTTGGAGAGCTCAGCACCAGGGACAAACGGGCACTGGGGATGTGCAGACAGCACAAACCCACGGCAAAAAACAACAGCAGTGACCTGAAGGTGCTGCTGTTTCCGGGAGCGTTTAAGACCGTCGGCTCTTCCCTCGTGTGCAGGGGTTGGTTGTGAATAGACCTTCAGCAGGCAAGAGCCTCGAGGAATGGAGGGAGGCAAGGAGGTTTCCATGGATTTCCTCCAAGTAGGGCGGCAGCTCGGAAAGGCTCAGCCAGCGACGGAGAGCCGAGCCAGCGCTGCTCTGTCTGAGCAGGACAGAGCACGGGCCCTGTGGCTTCCACAGCAGCCTCTGCCACCACCAGGGCTCTTCCTTCCAAAGGCAGGGCCGGGCTGGGGCCAGCAAGGCACAGAATTTGGGGTTGGGAGGGACCTCTGCAGATCCTCTGCTCCGGGGGACACAGGAACTTGTCCAGTGGGTGCCAACCCATCACACACTGGATACATCCACCATGCCGGATTCCAGCATGATCCAGAGCTCTGCTCCTCCTACAAACTGCCAAACAACCCCTCATTGCACCTGGACAATCCAGAGCTCATCCTACAAACCCCTCACTGCCCCTGGACAATCCAGAGCTCATCCTACAAACCCCTCAGTGCCCCTGGACAATCCCCATAGCTCATCCTACAAACCCCTCAGTGCCCCTGGACAATCCCAAGCTCATCCTACAAACACCTCAGTGCCCCTGGACAATCCCCATAGCTCATCCTACAAACCCCTCACTGTCCCTGGACAATCCCTGAGCTACCAGAGGACGGTGAGTCCCCACTTGGTCCTCGCAGTCACTTGGAGGTGCTTTATTTACACGAGGCCCGTGCCTGCAGGACTAGATACACCCTGCCCCAGAGTGTGGTTGCTCTGCTCCCACAGAAAGTGAATGTGCATCCCTGAGATGGATTTAAATAGCTTTAAGGCAGGGAGGCAGCTGGCAGGTAAGGAGCTTAGTTCAGCCTGCAAAGAGTGAAACCCCAGCAGTGTTCACCTGCTGGGGCTGAACAGAAGGGGCTGATTATCCCCAAAAGTCATGGAAAATAACCCACGTGGGAGAAGCACAGAGGCAGAGAAGGAACACCCGTCACAGGGCACAACACAACTCCCAGATATCCCGGTGAGGAACTACCAAGCCACTTCCAGACCTCCAGACCAGAGAGGTGCAAATTAAGGTGAGCTGAAAAGCAGAGGGTGAAAACCCAAGCCCAAGGAGTTCTCCAGCCTGGGATCCCCATGCCAGATTAAAACCTGTTTGCGCAGCAGGTCTGCAGGAAGATGATCCCTAATCCACGATGCACGACGCACATGACGAGCCTAATCACGGACCTTAAAGCTATTAGGGCTGCAGCACCTTGGAGGAGCCATTCCCACCAGGAATGAGGCAGCTGGAGGATCCACCAGCTCTGGGGCAGCAAACACCTGCCCCCAGCACAGAGCAGTTCATCACACTCGTGCAAGCTGGAGGCTGTTGTATCAGCAGTCACTCAGGACTACAAAGGCACTGGCATTATTTTCCCCCGAGTGCTCAGACACATCTCCCGAGCTTGGCACTGCAAGGGGGTCTCTGATTAGCACGCAGAAGGGAAAAGCTGAAATAGTTGGAGCGCCGGTAATCCCAGTCCTAAAGCTGCCTTAGTCCCTCCTCGTTGCTTGAGGAAGAGATTAACACCTGAAATATTCCTGCTGCGCTTCCAGACCCACCCCCGTGGAATTCCCACGTGCGCTCACGCAGGGGTGGCCCCACAGACCCAACCGGAACCGCCACCACAGTGGGTGTGTTTGAGCTCTTGGACAAAGGCTCCAACAATTCCTTTTCCCCCTTTAAACCGACACCTGAACCCTCCCTTGGGAAAGGGAAAGAAACCCCCTCAAAGCAGCAGCAGAGGCACAACCTCAGAGGCACAACCTCAGGGCTACAGCAGTGGCCTGCTGGGGCTCCGGGACCAGAGCCCGCTCGTGCCAGAGAACACCACCACAACTTCCAGGACAGCAAAAGGCTCTGTGGGAAACCAAAGAAACAACCGGAAGTGCTTCCACTTCCTTCTCCTCGGGAAACCTGACCAGACCACGGTTGGAAGAGCAACCTTCAGGCTTCCAGCTGGATGCCTCATCTGCCTGTGGAAGAGCCCTGCGGCCCAGCCTGATCCAGCTCTGCTCTGATACCACTTGCCAGCCACTGGAATTTTAGGATGGGGAACATCCTGGCTGCACCAGGACATCTGCTTTCCATTATTTTCCACAGCAGCTGCTCCAGAGCAGACGAAGTCCATCCTAATTAGTATTTCAGAGGGAAGACCAGCACATCATCGGTGCCCCTGCACATTCCCAGGCTCTGGAGTTTGGTCAGCACACCTCAAAATAAGGCCCAAATTTATTTAACTCGAATGCTGCTCATTAGCAGGAGCTTGTCTTAAAAGTGATTTCACAAGGGGCCTTTTGTCAAATTTACACTGGAATTTGTCAGTTTGAGATTAAGCCCCGTGTTCACCAACCTGATACCGCTCCCTCTAAAGCATAAATTACCATGTTAATGGAGTCGGGTCTCTTGGAGGCCCCTCCACTGGAAGCTCATTATACTTCACCTCCCCAGAAGGCCCTTTCCCTGCTTGGTTGAGCCAGGGACAGCTTTTAGGGCACACTCCAGCCTTCCCTATCCAAGGGAAGAGGGTTCTTCCTCCTGAGCCTTCCAAAGGAAGGGCGTGAGAGGGAGGAATGAAAGCAACCAGGAAAGTTGGGGTGTCCCCCACGGCAGCAGCTGGGAAGACGCTTCCACACTTGGCAGGTTTCCTTTGTGCCACATCCCAGGTTTGTTCCTGTTCTTCCCGACCCCCAAAGAGGGGGATGAGGACCCAGCTGTGCCCTCGGGGAGGGGTCCTGCGTGTCAGCAGCCCCGTCAGTCCCAGCCCCAAAACCACGGGAGGAAAGGTGTGGATTCCAATGTACTGCCCATCTCCGGGGAGAAATGGGGGAAATCCCCAGACATCCCTTTGTCCTTCCACCTTTCCCCGCTCACAGCCGGGAACAAAAGCAGGAAGGGCCGTTTCTCTCCACCGTGTGGGATTCTCTTCTCCCTCTTCCCTCACACAACGCCTCGTGTTTGTGACCTGCGAGCCGCCCTCTCCCGGGGTTCCAGGGATGCGGGAAGCGGGAGGCTCCTCCAGCAGAGTCAGGAGCGGCGGCACTGCCATGTTTTTCCCTGCGGCGCGGGCTGCATCCTCCACAATAGGACAAAGCCCCTCGGCGGCTCATCCCCCTCCCCGCGCCGCGCCCCCATCAGCTGGCAGCTCTCCTCAGGGAGCACCGCCATCAAGCAGGGAAAAGGGGTTTTTTTGGGGAGGGGGGATAAGGGAGATTTGACAGGCTCGCCAGCCTCTCCCATCCCCCTCCTGCTGCAGTCAGGCTGGATGGAGCCGAAGGCTGCAAAGGCGGAGCGGGAACGGGGATGGAGGGGGGGGATAACCACGGCTGCCTCCACCCTGCACGGACCTGCAGCCACGGCACGTTCCGGGGGAGGAAGGATGTGTGAACGGGACAAAATCAGATAATCATGTAAAAAATAAAGGAAAGGCGATAAATCCCCGTCGGCGTTTTATTGTCCGAGTCCTCCCCCCGCCCCCCCCCCGCGCTCCCTCCGCAAAACAACCGCATTTCCTGGGGCCCCCCGGGAGCTGGGGGTATCCAGGTGGATTGGGATCGGGATCGGGAAGGGGGATCCAGGTGGATTGGGATGGGGAAAGGAGGGTCTCCAAACACGAGGGTGTGTTATGATCACGTAAAAACCCCACTGGGGGGGCCAGTGAGGGATGGGGGGAGAATCCAGGGTGGGATTGAACCCGGGGGGTGCTGTGGGAATTAATGACGGGGGAAAGGACCCTGGGGGTCCCTGCGGGGTCACACACCCCCAGGTAATACTGGGGATGGAGGGGGGAAGGAACCCAGACAGGGCTGGAATGAGGGGGGAAGGATCCAGGGTGGGATTGAAGGTGGGAGAATGAATGATGGGGGAAAGGATCCGGGGGTCACACATCCCAGATAATATTGGGGATGGAGGGGAGAAGGAACTCAGACAGGGCTGGAATGGGGGGGAAGGATCCAGGATGGGATTGCAGCTGGGGGGTGCTGTGGGAATTAATGATGGGGGAAAGGCTCCAGGTGTCCTGGGGGGGTCACACATCCCAGATAATATTGGGGATGGTGGGGAGGAACCCAGACAGGGTTGGAATGAGGGGGAAGGATCCAGGGTGGGACTGAAACCAGGAGGTGCTGTGGGAATTAATGATGTAGGAAAGGATCCAGAGGGTCCCTGTGGGGGTGGGTCACACACCCCCAGGTAATATTTGGGATAGGGGGAGAAAGGAACATGGGATTGGAATGGAGGGAAGGATCCAGGGTGGGATTGAAGATGGGGGGTGCTGGGATAATTAATAATGGGGAAAAGGACCAAGAGGGTCCCCTGGGGGGTCACACATCTCAGATGTGGGATGGGGGGGAAGGAATCCAGGCAGGGCTGGAAAGAGGGGGGAAGGATTATGAGGTGAGGATGGGATTGAAGGTGGTGGCTGCTGTGAGCATTAAGGACAGGGGAAGGACCCCGAGGGGGTCCCACACACCAGACCCCCAAGGTAATATGGGGGATGGGGAGGGGACAGAGACGCGAAAAGGGCTGAGGGAGGGCTCCGATGTAGAGGTGACAGCCGAAGAAAACGAGCCGAACGGGGTGAGAGGGGCGATAATCAGCTGAGACACTGCCGAAGGGACCCACCCCGGGGGGGCACCGGGACCCCCGTGCCCGAGGCGAGGGGGCTCGGACCCCGGCTGGGGAGGATAACCACGCGAAAGGACAGCGGGGCCGCGGTGGGTGAGGGATGGGAAGGGGGCTCAGCCGCAGGAGCCGGGGATGGCGGGGGTTGGGGGCGGCGGTGGGGCGGGGCAGGGCGGCGGCCGCCCGCAGCAGGCCCGAGGCGCGGGCGGGCGGCGGCTGCTCCTCACCGTGAGGCCGGTGCCCAGCACGATCACGTCGTACTCCTCATTCATGGCGGCGCGGCGGTGTCGCGGCGGGGCTCTCCGGGCCGGGGGCTGAGCGGAGCGGGCGCTGCGCGGGGGCCGCGGGAGCGCGAGAAAATGGAGCCGCCGCCGTGAGGGGACCGCGCCGGGAGGGGCGGGGCCGGGCCGCCCGCGCCCCGCCCACGCGCCTGCCAATCACCGCCCGGCCCGCCGCGC